AGTCTGCCCTCCAGTTCAGATAGTCTGTCCTTAGTTTTTTTCAAGCTGTTATGCCAGTCTTCTATAGACTTCTTAGTATCTTGGTAGTCCCTTTGAACCTGCTTCACGTATTCTATGCTTTCTCTGTTTTCTCCATCAAACAATTCTCCCCTTTTTTTCTGTTCTTCCATTCCACCATCTGTTTTTTCTTGGGTGGTACTTAGCATTTCTCTAACTATTCTGCATACTTCTAGCTTCAGGTCGTTGATAACTTCATTCCTGAATTGGTCTATGAGGCTCTCTGTATGGTGCCTTATGTGTATTGGTGCGGTGTCTGCTATTGCCTGTTTCTCAGAATTCGGGGCCGAGGAGCCTTTCTTGTTGCTGCCTCTTCCCATGCTGCCTCTTCTTCTCTGTTCCTTATATATGCAAGCTTATATAAGAGGCCCAGCTTCTCTCCCAGTCAGCCACAGCCTGATCGAATTGCGCCAGTTAGGTGTTCCCACTCACCGCTGCGCACCAGGGAGTTACAGAACAGGCAGCCTACGCGTCTCCCCTCCCGGCCACCGTCAGGCTCTGGGATCTGGGTTGGGACAGTCTACCAGGTCCGCTGGCAGCGTCACGCAGGCCAGGCACTTTTCACCAATCCCGCTCGAGAGGGGGATGTGTGGCTGGAGTCGCCACCGCGCCCTGCTCCCGCAGGACTGCCCAGGCCCAGAAAGTCCTCTGCTGGAGTCAAACTGTGGTAGAGTGTCAGTTTCTCTCACTCACCTCACCACAAGTCAGTGCACGCCTCCCTGCCGTTCGCAGATTGCCGTTCTCAGAGCTTCTGCGCGTCTCTCTCCTTGCCGAGCCGCTGTGGAGGCAGCCAGCCGCCGCATGGTGGGAAAGCCAAATCGCGGCTTACAATGGCGCGGGGTCCAGCCTCCACACCGAGGCTTTTCTGTTCCTGTTTTAACACCAGGAATGCATTCCAAGTTGGTTTCTCTCAGCTCAGTTCATTCCTGAGTCAGCAGAGCATATCTCCACCTGCTTATGTCTCCTTAATCCGCACCATTCCTGGCTTCTGAGCCGAGTCTTTCAGAGAGCCTCCGGTAGTTGCTGTTATCTGTCCGCCATGTTCTCCCGGAAGTCTATTTATTTTTTTCTTACAGCTTTTCAGAAATCTGTTTATCATACCTAACAGGAAAAATGTTCATGGGTCTGAACAATGTCTCCTCTGTGGTGATCATTATTTTTTTAAATTTTATTTTGAAAATGATAAACTACAACAGAACAAGACAGAATAAACCAACTAAGATTGTACAGTGAAATTGGTACAGAATTTCACAGCAACGGGATAACAGTAATAGGTATCACAGTATATTTTGTGATCTTTATAATAGTTGTTCTTTCAATCATGTATATCAAAATAAAATGAAATAAATATAGAACTTATCAAAACAGAATATTGAATAGAGCAGTACCATTAATCAGAATAGAGCAAAACAGTAATAAAAATATTTGCCTTCAAAGAGATGGTAGAAGGAAATCCCCCTTATTTCCTATGGTCAACCTCCCAGGAGATGCTCAGATTTCTGGTTCCCATTTGCTAATCGCGGGGGGGTAGGGGGTAGGGGAAGTGGGATATTTGACTCTAGGCCGTGCTGGTGTAGGTTCATTATTGCTTAGCAGGGAGGCAGGCTGGTTACTTGGTTTCCCAGCTTTGTAAATTCCAACATTGGTGGATCTCAGAAGACACTGGTGGTTCTCCCCCTGGAGGGGCCATAGTTTGCCACACTGCAGCTGCTTACTAGGGAGGGAAGGTGCTTGCTTGGCTTCCCAGTGTCCTAAGGTCCAACATGGCATGGATATCAGGAGCTGCTGGTGGTTCTGATTTCTGAACTTGTTGCAATGCTTGTTTTTTGAGAAAGTCAGATACTAAATTTTAAAAAATCTACTTTGAGACTGCTATAAACTAAGGAACCCCAAGGTATCATGTAGAATTACCAGTCCAGGCCCTAACTTTCCCAGGAATTCCTTTTCTTCTGGATTCTTGTGTGTCTGGAAGGAGGTTTCTTGACCCATTTCTATGCTGCAGTATGTTTAGTTACTTTTACAAATAATTAATTTCACATGGTATTTGACACTTCATGTCACACGAATCGTAGGACTCTTTCTCAGGTGTGTGTTATGCTTTTTGTCTTATGATGACATAACACAGTGATTTCCCTCCAGGGAAACAAAGCAGTGACTGGCAGCATGAGGTTTACTCTGTACCCATGAGGGGGGGTTTCTGCTACACCCAAACATCCACTTCCCTTTTTTAAAATATGAAGTTTTAATCAAATGAGTAATATAGAAACCCTTGGTGAAGTAATGAAAATGTTACAAAGGGAAGATTAGGGAAATAAAATCCTTCTTTCCATTACACTCATTTCCAGGACTTTTCCTCTCATCCTGCAGGTAACTGAGGCCATGAATTTAGTTTCTGTCCCATCAGACACTTTTCTGTGCACTTTTCATACAACTGAGTCCAAAGCATTTTGTTCATTTATTTAACAGAGAATACCATTATGTTTTATTGATAGTTTTGAAGCATGTAATTTTATGTGTTTCTGAAATACATAGTGAGTTCAAGGCCAGCCTAAACTACACAGAGAGACCTTGTCTCAAAACAAAAACAGAAACAAAAACAAAATCTCCTAAATTCTTATTACCTAAACAGTGAACATTTGATACATGATCCAAAGCAAGTTGACTCCATTTGCAATACCAACTGACTGATATGTATGTATTTTTCCTTAGAATTTATCCTTTTTGACCAATTCGTCTCCCTGGTAAGCGGCTGTGGTTTAGGCAAGCTGCAGCTGCCCCAGGGGAGAACCACCAGTGTCTCCAGAGCTCTGTGTCATGTTGGAACTTGGGGGGCTGGGAAACCAAGCAGCCAGCTCACCCCCTGGTAGGCGGCCATGAGCCTATGGGCACGCATCAAACATCCCATCCCTCCCCACCCCCGTTGGCAGACGGGAGCCAGAGATCTGGGCATATCTTGGGAGGCTGACCATATGCAGTGTGGCAAGTAGGAGTGATTTCCTTCTGCCATCTCTTTGAAGGCAAGTATTTTTGTCACTGTTTTGCTTTGTTCTGATTGATGGTATTGCTTTATTCAATGTTCTGTTTTGATAAGTTCTATAATGTTCTGTATTTCATTTGAGTTTGTTGTACCTGATTGAAAGAACAGCTATTGTGAAGATATCGAGATATACTATGGTATCTATTGCTGTTATCCTGGTGACCTATTGTGAAGTTCTGTACCAATTTCACTGTACTGTCTCAATTGGCTTTGTTCCATCTTGTTCTGTTGTATTTTACTATCTTCAAAATAATTAAAAAAATTTTTAAAAAGAATTTATCCTTTTCCGTATTAAAATTGGGCTTTGTGCGTTTATGTCAAGTCATCTAGGTGTCTCTAATCCTACTAATCCATATAGAATTTCAGAGAATCTAAGTAGCTGTGCTTTAACCATTTGCAATACACATGGTCTGGTCCATTGCAGAAGCCATGATAAACACTTGCACATAGGCATCCTTGTGCACATCTGTCTTTCTAGAGCAGATAACAATTGTGCAATATGCAGGGCATAGCCAGGACTCATGTACTGAAAGTGAGCATAAGCTTCCAGATTGCATCAGGAGTAGTTGTGCTAATTCATGCCCCCATTTTACCGCAGTTTCATCTGGAAGGCTGTGTTCTTTCCTGCCCTCTCAACAATATCTGGGAGCCTCATGTAATGACACCCTGGCCAGTGTGACATCATCTGTACCCTAAGTCTTTGCAGTCTAATGGTTGAAACTCACTGGCTGCTCTTGTTTCCTCAGGTGTGAATTTCTGGTTATGTCTTTTGCCGGATTTGTTAGAGTGGAGCAGGATGTTGTAGTAGTCAACTTTTTGGTCTCTGAGCACAACACCACACACCCACCCTTAAATGAAGACAGGTTTAACTGGCTCATGGTTTAAACTGCAGTCATCTGGCTCTACATCACAGTGGAAGAGCAATAAATTTTAGTGCTTCATTGCACTGCGTGGTATTCACAGTTAATAAAAATAGTGTAGTAGATATTTCAAAATGGCTAAATGATTCTTAATGCTCAAACCACAAAATAGGAAACCTCTGTGAGGTGATTAGTATCTTATTTAGTTTAACTGAAACTTACTACAATGTATACATAGGTGAAGACTCCATTTTGAGCCCCCCAAAACAATCATTTTTCCATTAAAGACAAATCAGTAAATGATGGATTAACTCCCTTTAACTTCATTACCTAAACAACAAATGGTCCAAAGCAAGCCAATTCCATTTTCAGTACTGACCAAAAGGAGAAAAGCACATCAGAAACACTTTACCAATTCACCTTTCTGGCCTAGCACTGTCATCTTTGAGGCATTCTTCAGTAGCGGACAGTATTTGCTTAGTGAGAACAGTGAATACAGTGTTGGTTTTGGATTAGTTTTACCTGAAACAGTGGCATCAAATTACAAGGTCAGGATTTTTCACTTAAGAATTTATTGTTTTATTGAATTGCACTCAAGACTGCAATGTTTAAAGTAGCACAACAGCCTAGCTTCTGAAACTCATCCTGAGATGAATTTAGAGACTGGTGGCCAACTCTTTCCATTTGGGGACAAGCAGCATGTAGAGTTAGAAGCTTGGCAGGATGAAAGGGCATGTCAAAATTTATGCTAAAGAATTATATAGATGATTCTCCCTGTCTTCTTGGAAACATCTATTTGCACAAAAACTGTAGCACACCCTAGAGACTTGGGTACCACAAAACTTAGTTTTTCTGCTTTTCCTTATAGCACCAGCCAGGTCAGAGCTTACCCAGTTGGTATTGTGGGTCAATCAGTGACTTTGCCCTGTTTGTATTGGTCCCCGTCTCCAAGCAGCAGCCGCATGTGCTGGGGAAGAGGCCAATGTCTCAAGTCCAAATGCAACCAGGAGCTTATCCACATAGCGAGAACTCAAATGACCTCAGGAATGTCAGGAAAATACAGAGTCCAGTGGAATATCCAGAGGGGCGATGTCTCCTTGACCATCTTAAACACTGAGGAAGGGGACAGTGGGGTGTACTGCTATCGCATGGAGGTTCCTGGCTGGTTCAATGATGTCAAGAGGAACATTCAGCTGGTGCTGAGGAAAGGTGAGCACATGGGATTCAGATCTGGGGGAGGAGAACTTCACCAGCTGATGGGTAATGGATGGACTGGGAGGAGCTGAGGAGGTCGAACTTGCTTAAGCGGGGAGCAGAAAGATGAGATTGGAAATAATGAGTCATGACAGGGAGCAGGCCTGTGGAGGGGGCCAAGACAGCCACAGAAAAGAGTGAAGGGAGGCTGGGAAAAGACAGGGAACAGGTAAATTGCTTAATGAATCTGAAGAGGGCAGCTTTTACTTTAAGAAGGGAATTGTGTGCCACCTTGCAGAAATGTATGCTCCGTATTTTCAGAACTCCTAGTTTTTATGTGAACTATATTTAGTTTTATGTATTGGCTAATTTGAAAAATCAAATAATGATATGGTATGAATTGGATAGAGCACATCTGCAGGTCAGCTCCCTACTATAAATACATAGTTTGTGACTTCTGGTAGAGAAGAGGGAATAAGATGTGGGGACATTTTCCACAGTTTTCAGGCTTTCATTCTATTTCTCTCAGTTTCTTCTGATAAAATTTTAAATGTGATGAGACTCATAAAGATTTGAGTTTCATAGGATGAGCTGAACCAACCATGGGATTGAATTATGTTAATAGTAACCAACATTCCCCTGTCTTAACTGAGCATTCCAATCCTGGGCTCCATTTCCAATAGTTTGGTGGCTTGGAAAGCAAGGTCTCCAGGTGTATTTTAGGTTATGCAGGTTTCTCTAATGCACACTGAAACTGGAGATCAGTGGATGTGGAGCTTTTAATTAGAGAATTTCTTTATAGTTCAATATTAGTATAATGTTTTTTCTCTTTAAGAAACTATGTAAGCTAGAAGGTACTATTCTGATTTGTCTTAAGAGGAAAATGATATTTGTTGAAGGTAAATAACTCTAACCCTAACCTTTTCTTACCTGATAAGAGCTAGCTATTGTTTTAGAAAATACTTGTTTTAGAAAATTCAACAGGGTCATTTCCAAGTTTAATTGGAACAAATGATATCTTTTTGATTCATTAAAGCCTATGGAAATTTGGCATATTCTAGAAATGGTGAGGTCTATAGAATAAACTCAAATGTACAGTTTGATGGATTAAATGATATTGCTGTGAGTGAACTGTTGATATCAGAAGTAGACTGCATTGTCACTCCAGATTGCCTACTAATTGCCAGACTCTGTGATATGTATTGGATTCATAGTAGAGAACAAAATATGTACTTGATTTTTCTCTTGGCACATATAACACAGTGGGAGGAGACATGGGACCAATAATCAAGGGAATGTGTAGTTTTGAAATGCAATAAATGCCATGAAGTTAAAGTATAAAAACATATAACAGATTCTTATTGTTGTAGAATCTGGAAGTTGTCTTCATAGAAGAGACTTTGTAGCTGAGAAATGATAGGTCAGGCAGAGTCAGTGCAGTGAATAAAATGTAGTGTGAATAGGATATGAAATTCCTATAGCCAGCAGGTCATTGATGTGTTCAGAGAACTGAGAAAAGCCCACTTGTCTGAGAAAAGTGAAAAGAGAGTGAGGCCATGTGATTAGAAAGACAGATGGTGATTTCTAGGCCAAAGGACTGGATTCTTACAGGGAAGGAAGACCCCATACAAATTTTAAGTAGAGCTGGTCATAGTGGTGCACTCCTGTAACCCCAGCACTTGGGAAGCTGAGGCAGGAGAATTGTTTGCAAGTTCGAGACCAGCCTGGTCTACAAAGTAAGCCCGAAGCCAGCATGAACTGCATAGCAAGACCCTGTCTCCAAAAGGAAGAACAGAAACAAAAAAAACCCAACCAAACAAAAACCCCCAAAATGCAAATTTTTAAAGAGAATTAGCATAATTAGATTTGTAAATTGAAAAGATTACTCAAGCTATTGTTAAGTAGAATAGATCGGAAGAGACAGAGGCAAGAAACCCAGTTTTAGTGAGCATTACAATGGGCCAGGCCAGTGGACCACGTGAAAGTAACAGAAATGGAGAGGAATGGATAGATCCCCTCTTGCTTGGTGCATAACACATCTTCTCTTGTTTACAGCCCCAACAACTACCAGACAAACAATAACCTCCGGCCAAACTACCACCCCTCATTTGCTGCCAACAACTGTGTTGCCCACAACAGGCATGGCTATAGCAACCTCCAAGCCAGCCACCACCCCACACATGCCTACAACCAGAGCTGCAGAGCCAACACTGTTGACTACAATGACCTCCCTCCAAGCCACCACCCCTCTCATGCCAACAACTACAACTGTGCCGTCGACAACCCCCGTGACTGCACGTGAGCACACAGCCAGAGCCCACTTCAGACAAAGGCCACCTCTGTCTTCCCAACAACAGCACCCCTGTGCCCCCTGACAAGGCCAAGCTTTGCAACAGGGATAGCACTGGAGCCATCCATGGAAGGGCCCATGTCTACGGCAGGTATGGGACACAAATGATCACTTTTCTCTTCTACATGTGCCTTGCTTTCCTTGGAACAGGGTTCTCCCACTGCATGGGACAGCCCAGTGATGTGCTCTTGATCCGTGTCTATGTGTATGCTTGTGTATGTATGCATTTGCTTGCTGGCCTAACATAACAAATGCCACAGACTGCACGGCTTCAACAGTAGGAATTTGTTTTCTTCCCAGTCTGGATGTTAGAAGTCCATGTTTAAAGTGTCAGCAGCTTTGGTTTCTTCTGCCATTTTCTTTCTATACTTTTAGATGGCTGTCTCTTCACTATGTCCCATGTCGTCTCCCAAAGTCATCTTCTTTTGTGTCCTAATCTAGTTTTAGGATATCTATCGTACTGAGTTATGGTCTATCTATATGACCTCATTTTTCCTTAATCTCCTCTTTCTATTTTCTCTTTTAAATTTGCTGTATTTATTGCTTTTATTTATTGAAGTGAAGGGTATTAAATGTTACAACATTTATTAGGCAACTGGCAAAAACGTGGAACTTTAGGTAAACTTCCACTTGAATTGATTCATGAACTGGCTTGTAAAAAATTAACTTCTTTTAAGTATTATGAATACACCCCCAAAATATACATTTTTCTTTTCTTCTTCACATATTTACTGATTGCCTGTAGTCCCAAGGAATTTACTTTCTTTTATGTATGTTTTTATTGTATAAAATTAGGACAGCTATGTTGCATCATTAATACATTTGGTTTGAAGATAAAGTCTATCTGATTATACAATATTCAGTACCATGCTATTCTTATGTGTATTCTAATAGAATTCACAATAATAACAACATAGAGGGCTTAAGTAACTGAAAGGTTTATTCTACTCATGTTCACAACTTTACTATATAATAATTTGGTAATATCATAAAGGCTAGATGTGATCCAATTGAATATTACCTTGAGTGATGCAAAAATGGCTCTGTATGTCTAGTTTGTGCTATATTTAGTTAGATTAATATTTAAGTTTCTAGCCAGGCATGGTGGCACATTCCTGTAATCCCAGTACTCGGGAGCCTGCAAGTTCCAGACCAGCCTGAGGTTACATAGTGAGCCTAAGGCCAGCCTCAACTGCATAGTGAGACCCTCCCTCAAAAAGAAAAAAAAATTTTTTGAGTTTTTAAGTTCTGAGATAAAATATTAAAATTGTTTTTTCTCAAGCAAGGACCACACAGTGAGACCAAGTTATTTTCAGAATTAAAGATTCTGATAATTAAACAAATACCCATGATCTCTTAACGATTACTCAAAAAAAACCCGATTCAAATTCAGAAATACATAATTCAGTGAAGACTGTGTGTGAAATTGTGTCCCCCCAAAAGATGGTGAACTCTTACTTCTGTTACCTATAAATGAGACCTTGTTTGTAAAGGGGACTTTTGTGCATATAATCAAGTTAAAATGAAGTCACACAGCATTAGGTGGCCTCCTAGCCAGTGATTGATGTCTTTATGAGGATAGAAAATGATATGGGCAGAAAAATGACAGATTCCAAAAATTTAAAAAAGCACTTTATTAGGAGAGCTCAGCAGCAACACTGTCCCAGAAAGAAGCCAGGGAAGTGCACTCTGAGCCCGGGGCTGCAGGGAGTTATAAAGCAGCAAATCGCAAGGGGAGGGGTCAGGCTCTTAGGATCAGTTTGTCTCCATAAAAGGTAACTTGGTTTAGTTTTACAGGAATCAGAGAGGCAGGAGGGAGTTACATGGTGGGTATGTTACAAGGCTGCACCTTAACTGGTGATTACACAAGTTTTACAGGAAGAGAACAAGTTATAAGTACAGCACATTTTCGGTTTTTTAGCTTGTAACATTCCCACTGCTTTTGGTCACTGAGTCAGATCTTTGATTGGTGCATAATCATAAGTAGGTAACTGGTTATATCCTTCTTATCTAAACATTTTAACAGCTTAAAATCGGTCCTTGATGTGGTTTAAAAGGCATTTTATAATACACGGCCTGATGGTTAAAACAAGTAAGAGGAGAACAATTGGTCGTATTGGAGCTGAGAGGAGGGTGGTCAGCCAGGGGGACAGTGAGAACAGGTTTTGAAACCAATTCTGGTCATGTTGTCACTGTTGCTCTCATTCATGGAGTCTTTTCCTAAGCTTGTTCATGCTGGCTCTTATGACTCCAGAGTGATTAGTATAGAAACAGCAGGCCTTTCCTATGCATAGACCACCTTCTTTCATAAACAACAAATGCAGGCCTCTACAATTTTGGAGGACCATTTCAGCTAAAAGGCCTAGTGACTCCTCCAGTTTTGATACTGAATGTTCCAAAGGCACTAGATCTTTATCTATGGGAGCGCTCATCTCAAGATAATTTTTGTCACCACTATTAAACTTGCAGTCCTTAGAGCTGTAGCTCCGGACAGACCCAATCCCATGAGGATCAGGATTAAAACAGGAGCTACTTGAAGTGACTGATAAAGGTCTGATTCAAGACTTAGGCACTCTCGTCCACTTGCACTTGAACATCAATAAACCTGGGGGAACACATGGACCAAAATATATAACTCAGTTTGTCTAGTAAAGATGTCTAACATGACACAAGGAGTCAATCCTGAGGTACAAGCAAACCACGATCCTTTGGGAACCTCTAAATGTTGGCCTGATGAATATGAAACATTTGTTACCACAATAGTGGTAAGGCAGAAATCTCGGTATGGGCTAAAGCTGAGGTCATAGGCATCAGATTGGATGCAAGCTCCCTTTCCTTGAATATTCCCTAGAGTTAGGACGGGTTTTTGTCCCCACCAACAAGGGGAGTTAGAGTCCAAGTTGGAGGAGTTCTGGATCTGGAAAGAGACATTTGAACCAATGGATGCTTGTAGAGCCACCCCTCTGTAAAAGGGTGGTTACAGGTCTAAACATAGCCAGCAATCCTGGGTGAGATTGGGATTGCTACGATTGAGGTATCAGAACATTATGTGTAAGGGACTATATAGGTCAGAGACAGGCTGAAGGGTTTGTAGCAGTGAAGGAGTAGAGGTAGCAGTAGGAGGCACATTGGGATTTGTCCTAGCAGGGGCAGCAGGTGGGCCCAGCTGCCCAATAGCTGGCCTGGTAGGTAAATCAGTGGCCTGGCTCCTATTAATATGGAAGAATGTTCCTGGGTCATATCCAGACACACAAAGTCGAATGCCCCAAGTTTTTCACCCCCTGCCATGACTAATGGTAGACTTGTTTAAAGTAAAACGTAAGGAGGTTACAATTTTGGGGATCACAGTTTGGTTTTGAGAATCTTTTGAGATCAATGAAAGGATTGTTACTTCCCCATGGAGAGATCCCCATTAATTACAATAAAATTGATTGTATACCTCACAGAGTTCATTATGGTGAGGGTCTCTAGATGACTGTTTTTGGGAACAAACATAAAACTGTATGTTTGGTAGATATTTTCATCCCTTAAAGCTATGGCAGTCAAAGAGATCCTCAGATTTGCCTCTGTTTTGGGATGAAGCCCATTTATTGCCGATTCCCAAATTAGCAGAGCTCACTGTGGAGAACGGGCCACCCATGATGTTACATAGGTCTGTAACCAGGACAGCATGAAGTGTGGTATTTTTAGCTATAAGATAGCCTGCTATGGCATTTGTTTACTCCCAGGTGTAAAGGGGTAGGGCATGTTCAAGAGACAAAGCAATCATTTCCCAACAAGCAAGAGAAACTATCATTATCAAGAACATTTTGACAGCTTGAATTTCAGTGGGTGTTCAGTCCCAGTAACAGTCCACTTATCTGTGTCCTGGATATCTGGAGAGAGGACTTTGATGTGGGAGTGATGTATCCAGGTGGGTTTTCCCGCCACCTTGATAGCCATGGGTGTGTTGAGAACAATGGCGTATGGTGGTTCAGGGGAGGAGTTGCAAGAAAGGTGTTTGAGTAACACTTGATCTCCTGGGCTTGCAGCCAAAGGGGTCTCTGGTGCATGTGGGTTGGCTTGGTGATCTTAGAAGTGTTGATGCATGGAAGTCAGCACAGGTTGAAGAGCCTATAGAGACTTAATCAAACTGCAGTCATCAGTCTCTGCCAAATGAATACTATCAAGGTAGGAGATGAGGGGTGGTGGTCTCCCATAGACTGCCTCAAAAAGGGTTATTCCATTTATATATGGAGTACAATGCACACGCAGGAGGGCAAAAGGAGACTTACGCAGTTTTTGCCAGACTCTAAAATCAATTTGCTAAGTATCTCTTTTAAAGTTTGATTTATCCTTTCAACTTGACCTGAACTTCGGGGATGGTAGGCACAGTGAAATTTCCAATCAATAATAACTGAGCAACTTTATTAGTGATGGAAGCTATGAAAGCCAGGCTATTGTCAGACTCCACAAATAAAGGAAGCCCAAGTCTAGAAATTATTTTATATAAAAGCTTTTTGACAATTGAGGTTGATTCTGTCTTTGTCCGGTATCCATCAGTCCATCCAGTAAAGTTATCCACCAAAACCACCAAATACTTATGTCCATGTAATCCTGGTTTTCCCATGTCCATGAAATCAATTTCCCAGTGTTCTTTTAGAAAGGTTCCCTGAGAATTTCCTCTGAGATAGTGATGATTTTGGTATTTACTTGTAGACATTGTGAGCATCTTTGACTAACTTCCTTTGCTAATTGAGTCAGCTTAGGAATGAAGTACCTGTGCCAAAGCAACTCAGCTACTTTTGAGCCCCCTAGGTGTGACGCCTGGTGGATCTTAAGAATCAAATCCCTTCACAGGGCAGCAGTTATTAAAATTCATCTGTCTGGCAATTGGAACCAATTTTGGGGGGATTCGTGTTTTGCTCTTAGTTGTCTATCTAGCCCTTGATCTGACTTGGAATACACCAATTGGGGCAAACAAGGGGGTGGCAGAACTGGCAGCAAGTGGGCCATAGGCTGTACAGATGACATAGAGCTGCCTCTCGAGCACTCCTGTCAGTGAGCACGTTTCCTATCAAGATTGGATCTTTTCCTGCTT